AGAGACATAGCAAAGAGGGCATTCAACTTTGGTAACAGAACAGAAACAAATTACTTGGGAAGAAAGTCTCTGGCCCCATGAGACAAACCTTTTATTTTAAGCTGCATCATTAACCTATGGTTTGCAGAGCAACTGAAACGTACCTTTGCAGAAGTAGTCTCCCCATTATTTCTGTATATTCTTGATCACACACTATCGTTTTCTTTAAATTACACTCTATAAAACTAAACTGCCTGAACTGATATCGATGCAGACAATCAAATCACCATTTCAAACTCATCTTCCAGTGGTAGAACCACTCTGTGTTATTTAATACTCATCTGTCAATATGTTGTATCTTTCCTAAGCAGCTAGAAACGTGAAATCAAAACTTGAACCAGTCACTTAGGGACGTGGTTTAGCAGGCCTGGTGTTGAAGGGTTTACGGTTGGACTCGATGATCTTAAAGGTCTTACCCAAACATACTGACTCTACGATTCTTGAAGCGCTCAGCTGAGTGTATGCACCTTCCTTCAAAAACCATGAGACAGGAGAGATGCAAATCTTTCCTGAGTCAATGTTCATTACCAAAGCAGTTCTCAAAATCGACAGCAGATTAAATGCTACTTGTCCCTGTAATGACACTCTGCCTACACATAAAGCTGATTTCTTAGATAACAGGAACAAGCAAACAAACAAACAAAAAATCTACAATTATTTATTTAATCCAGGGACAACCATTTTGAGATTTGAGATTTACAGTACTGTGCTGTTTACCTCAGCTATTAATGCATAAAGACAGGGGATTCTGAATCTTTTAAACATTCATTTGTCATTTCAGTAATTCATCTTCAAACTATAATGTTATTATTTATCCTCTTGAAAACACTTCTCTGACCCCCCACACACCTTTTTTGTCTGTCAAATATAGACCCCTTGCACAAATTCAGCACCTAGTACCGTTACTTATTAATATGATTAAATTTAAAAAGGCAACTGTACTAGCTAGAAATACAATTGCAGATGTAATAGTAAGATATTTACACATTTTGCCCACCCTTTCAGAAATGACTCCCTTCCTCCCCCAGTTTTCGAAGGATATAACAACAGAAACAGGGACTCAGTGAGGCCACGACCCTCCCCCTGACCCGACTCAAGCTGCAGGTCAGGCACAAATAGTTTCCTGACAGGAAGACAAATAAATACCTTTCCTTAAGCCCAACTCCTACATTGGTTTTTCTTTTGCTCCTCACCAGCTCAAGTCAAAGCTACCCCAAAGTTACAGAAACTGAAAAGAGCAGATTGCAATGAAATTAAAGTGCACATGCAAATCCTGCTCACTATGCTGCTGCATACATGTGAATGCTACTACATACAGCCTATATAATATGGTACCAGTTTCCCACTTACTTTTGCATGAGCTACCGCTAGTATCAATGGCCCATAATTACTATCCCCACGAGGGCAATTTTAACAGTGGTTAAACTTTAAACTGGGAATGGATGGGCAGCTTCGCCACACAGGTCAGCATGACTGAAAAGTGGAAGGTCTATGCGAGGTATGAAGGCTGAACCCTGAAGTAATTTCCTTCGGTTGTTTTCTACCATCAAGTCTAATGCTCCATTGTAAAACTGTGTTTGGTGCAGAAGTCAGATGGACAATACAGACTAAGCCCCATTCAACTTGTGCCCCTCATGTCCCTAAGGCCTACGCTAAAAACAGCTCTGCAGGAATGTCCTGCTGGTCCATTCCCCTTTCCCCGGGGAGCTTCCGTGGCAAAGACACTGGAGAGCTAAAGCCTAGGGGGAAGGGGCACAGGGAAAAGTCCTAAATGTCTAAAGCCATAGATTCAAAAATAAAGAAGAATTTCCACATTAAACCTTTTCAGAATTTGCCCTGTAATTAAGAAATTTCAAAGTTCCTTCAGACATTTAGATAATAAAAGTCAAAGTGATATAAAAGTAATGCTTCGCAGGGCCTCTTAAACACTCGGGTTTTCAACTGCAGTGTGATAAGCATGCACATCTTTCTTTTCCATCTTTTAACAGAAGATGGGTGCAAAAGTAAAGCCACATAAAACATGTTCGTTGTAGAATTGAGAAAATCGATGTGGACAGTTCAAAATGGGCAATTACGCTGGTTTAAACTTATGAGCTAAAGATCACTGAAAACGATCTACTTTTTGAGTCAGCAGAAAGACACTGCTCTCAACAGATATTTGTTGACAATGCCTTGAAAGCTGAGAAATTAAACTAGAAAAGAACTCTTACATTTCACAGAAAGAGACCAAAATAATTCCAAGAAAGCGGTTTTCTTTGCAGGTAATTAGGGTTTCAACCAAATCAAATAAGGGTAAACTGCTTCTTGAAGAAACAGAACCATTAGACAAAACGGGTGAGGTGGCTTAATTCTTTCAGCTGTTCACTGAAAAAAGACACTTAAATGGTTGAAGAAAAATCAAAGATATACCTTAAGAAAGGAGAACATAAGGAAAACCAGTTTCAGTGCTCTGACCTGAAAACTGGCAAACAGGACAGTAACGCTGGAATCCGCACAGAAAGCCCAGACAACTCTGCCAGGCAGCCTGATCCCCAGAGAGAGCTGTCCTGCAGAGCATGGATGCTACGTGGTGCATAATTAGTTAATTTAAATACCCAGTCCAAATGTTTATTTGGGACTCAGTAAGTATACAGACACAAGAGTACCCCCAACAATGCAGTCTTTTACTTTATTTTTCAAGACAATAGAAGTCCATAGTACACTTTTATCAAAAATCCAACTGAAAAATTACTAAACTGGCAGGCAGTCCAGAACGTGGATTTAATCCCCTGCCCCACATACCATCTCTGTCCTCTAAACCACTCAAGGTTCCAAAAGTTCTAACAAGGGACATAGACTTAACGTGACAGAAGGTTTAAATTTCATCTTGGTTTACACACAAAACTTAAACTTCTACCATATATTTACTTTAAGTTTAAATTATTTTTAACCACCAATGTTGTTATTTTTTAGTGTTTCGTTTAAGTTGGAAAATGAAAGTTCTTGGTTTTCACTATGCTTCATGAAAGACTCTAAAGAGCACCACACTCTTCCTTCTCCACTAGTGGAACATGATTCCCAAATATATAAATTAATTCACCATCCTTTCTAAAAATACATAATTAAAATAATTTTGTCAAATAAAAACTCCTATTTTTATGGTTGGCTTTTTCAAAAGCCAAGTTATCATCATCTATGACACCTATCGATTTGATTATTATTATTTAAAATTTATTTTTATTTCCTCCCACAACTTCAGAAATACTGTGTTCCATTACCTTCTGAGGAATTCCTAAATAAACTGGCACTGTGTATGAAATTCAGCAGCCCACTTACTCCTTTTTATTCAAATTACTTACAGTCATGAGAAAGGAACTAAAATCTCTCTCAAAATTTAGACTTTTTACAAAGTTTGAATGTATGTGATTTTTTTTTTTACCATGCTACTTTCCAATATTGCATTGGCATGCAAAATACAACCTTAAAACAAATTAGGTGAAAAACATCATTTCAACAATTGGCATTAAGCTGTTTGCCTGTTTTTCCAGTCACACAATATTCAATATCCAGAAAAAACGTTATCAAAAAACAGCAATGCCCTGAGTCAGTGTAACAACTATAAAGCCCGTTCCTGCAAAGGGAGGGCATACTGACCCAGGTTATTGTTTTATGCTCTTAAAAATAGTTAAAACGCATAAAAACGAGATAGGGATTTGAATTCTGTGCTGTTGTAAAAATCTTGATGTAACTCATCTCCAACACATTGCCATGAACACTGTGAAGTTTCTGAGGCAATAATTTGGCTCATTTAATAGCAAAAATTAATATTTCTTCCTTGTTACTATAGCTCAGTAGGTTGTAGGAAGGAAAAAAAAAATCCCACAAGGTTGAAGTTGGCATTACTCCTTTCTTCAGACCTGATCCCACCTTACTTATTCCCATTAGACAGCAGTTTCCTTCATGGAATTGTTCTAATAATCTCAGAAATACTCTAGAGCATGTTGACTTCAGTGAGAGTGAGTCATGAATGAAGATGCAAGCCCGAATTAAGTACAAGAAACAAGTTCTGCTTTTTTTTTTCCTTATTAAATAAATCATCAATATCTTTTTATAAATACCACCTTCTTGTACCAAAAAAATATATATACATATAGTACTCAGAGTAATACAAAGTCTTATAAAGGCAGTCAAACTAGAGGCCGTAAAAGCCATAAACTATACTATATAGTTTTACTCCTCAGTGCCGTTTCCCACATTTTCATGCTGTACAAAAAACATACTCCAGCATTAAAGTTAGAGGCAGGATCTTGTGGACCAGACACTTGTTTATATTGAAAGTGCAGCCAATTAAACTAAACCTTGTAATCCGAAGCTTCACAGAGCAGTAATTTTTATGACCTGATAAGTAACGGAGACAAACTCAGGTAACCCCAGAAGAACCAGACAAATATATTTATTTAACAGCAAATGTTTACTAGGCAGACTGAAGAAACAAGCCTGTCTTTGCTGCACTGCATTGGAAAGCACAGTGAGCGCATGCACATACGAACTCGTTGAGACAGAACAAGGAACATGGTTACAGGAGAACATTAAACCAGTGGGTAATTTATCTGTCATGTTGAGGAAAGCTCAGGGAAGTGATCCAAAGCAGATGAAAGCAAGAAAACATGAGTGCTAAACATAAGAAAATGGAGCTAGGGCAATGAGTAAATACAGAGCAGAACCTCAATCAACACAGCTAACTGATTTCTGAAGTCTCCTCAAGATCTTTTACCTATGAAACCAAAAGTCCCCAGAGTTCCTGCCAAAGACAATCTTTGGAATCATTCCTTACACCGAGCACACATGGTAAATTATGACATTGCTTAAACATAGAGCTCTAGGAGTAAATGTGTAGGTTGATCAGAAACGAAGCAGCACTCCTGTTAGAAAATGCTAACATCTTTCAAGCTGGCTGCAATTACTTCAAGTGCAATGCTTACCTTTAATAGTTTCCTCCACAACTTCTACTACACGATCTATTTGCTGAACCTAAAAAAAGTCAGAAGGTCAATAACTAAGCAGTCAAAAACTGGACATATTTTAAACAACTCTTCCTTCAAAAGTGCATTCTTCAGGACGAAGGGGAGTAAGGGGGTTGGGGCTCTATTTTTAGATTTTGCTTTTCAGTGTATCTTTGCTTATCTGTCAAAGACCCTGTAGTCACTTTAAAATTCACCATCTAACTTCAGCTAAATGCTGTCCTCAAAAGTAGTTAAGTTCTCATAAGGTTAGCAGCAAACACTAACTAACAGGAGGGCCCCTATTCTTAGGGCCACCAGTGCGAGAAGGGCAGAGAGAGAGAGGAGGCCTCAGCTCCTGCACATGGCTGCTGGGTAGCCAAGGGACAGTGGTCACCTGGGCAGGCCACACATGTGGCTGTGTATTTTTTATCTTTTTTTTTTAATATTGAAAAGAATCAAAAACTGCAAAACTCAACACAAATTCTTGAAGTCGAGATTCTTCCTACAACTCTCATCCAGCCTATGCACTGTCTGCTATACACGCACACACACGTCTACACATAATGCAGGAAAACAAAATACAGAAACACTACATTGCACACTTAGATTAGTTTACTTTTTTGCCACAAGTAGGCTTCTAAATGCCCACTAGGCTGTATATGATTTTTGCAGCCAATTCCTTGGTGACTGCTTGTTTTGTTTCAAAAACAAACACAAAAGCACAAGTCGTACAGGCTGCAAGAGCAGAACCTGGTCTGCAACCAAGTGGCTTGCAACTCGGATCACTTGCATCAAAGCTATTAAGTCTCCATGCCCTTAAACCACTGGGTTTGTCATTTCCTGTAAACAAACGTCTGCACAATCATCTGTATTTCACATTCATTTTCCAATCAGCTAAAAAAAAGTTAATCCAAAGTCGGTGTCTGATCTAGAGCTCCTCATTAAATTCAAGTGCAGTCTGTTCTTCTTGTCTGGGTGCTGGATTCAGTCCATGCTAACCTCTGCATTTTCCAAAATCTTCTCCAGAAAAACAAATCTCTGACACTTCACATGTCTACATATAGGATATTAAATACGAATCCTAGAAATTCAGTTATTTGAAGTAGCACTAACTTTGGCATTTTAGTAATTTCATAAGAGACATTCATTTAAATCCTTTTCTGAGATGAAAGTGCATATTTTCAATATGTCTGTATAGCAATCTATTTAGTATATAAAGTACACACACATTCAGATCGAACACATGCACCTATTTTATATATAGACACACACATACTTACATATTGTCATCTAAGATGCTTATAGATGGCCTTTCTACTTAATTCAAAATATTCTAATAAAAAGTCACCTAAAGGCAGAAGTGTTGGCATTTATTACTACAAATATAGGCATGGAACACAGTCTGTGCCAAATGTTGCCTAAAATACTGTTGCTATATACCTCAGTATTGAACTTAGCTGCATAAGCATTTAAAAACAAAAGAAGGCTCTTTGCTTTAGAGCCTGAGGCAATGACAATTAATCCCCTGCTTTTGAGATCTAGGGATTTTCATACAGCTTCGAATCTCCTATTAAATAAATGCATGAAAAAACAAACACTACACTATATTTTCATGTTACTGGAAAAATATTTCTGAGTCTATCTTTCAAGATGATGCTTGATGCAAGTAATTACAGTTGAATCACCAAGAGAGGATAAGAACTGCAACTAGAACAGAGGCTAGGAATGGATAAATATTCTACCTTAATATGTTATATTAAGTACCTTAATATGTTACATTAAGTACTTCTATTTGAAATTAACAGAAATTGTTTGGCTAAAATCCAAACCATTGAAGAAGAAAATACTGATTGCTCCAATTTTCAGTTATGATGGTAAAAATATATAAGCAAAACTGGAACCTGGAATGAGAGGAGGGAAGGGTTATTTGGATTCCTATTCAGAAGGAAAGGAAAATAATAAGAAGGGGGGGAAAAAAGACAGAAATAAAACCACAATTCTTAGCTATGCTGAGCCATACAGGACTCCTTTCACCATATCTCCCCTTATGGATAATCCTGTTGAGGAGAAGTTGCCAGCAGGGACATCACTACTAGACATACTTGACACGCTATACTTAGCTCCACTGATGTTGGGTGATCCTGTTTCCTAGTATAAACATGCACATGCTGGACTCGCTGTCCAGTACAAATGGTTCTCCGCTACATCTTGGGTGAAACAGCAGGAAGATGAGCAGAGGAGGAGGGGAAAAAAAAGAAAAAAAAAAAAGCACACAACTAATCAAGGCTGATGCAGAAATCTCCACTGAGACTGATACAGGACAGAAGCAGGGCCTAAGTTGACACAAAGACCAGTAAAAACCTTTACAAACCTTCTTGTTGTGCTCACATAAGGCGTAAGTGCTACCAGAGATCCCTCTCGCACAAGCACAAGGGAAGCACGAGGCGATCTGTGCTGGGGCTACAGCCGTAGATCACCTCTGCACACGTAAGTGCAAGTTCCTCACGCTGGATCCCCAAAGTCCCCAGCACCTCCCTGAGAGACACAAGCACCGAGGTTTCTGCCTGAGCCCCAGTTACAGAAGCCATGGGATCAGGAAGAGGCCTTGCCATGTCACCAACGGAGAAAGCCCCCCTGTTCCTTTTATAGTGTCATTATCACATTCAGCAGATGACGGCGAGATGTAAACAGCCCACAGACCCACTTGTAACGTGTTAGGTCTGCACTCTTGGTTTGAGTGCAGACATGCACGTGAGGATGGTCACACAAGTTCTTCCCAGCGCTCAGACATGACCTGAGCTGTCTCAGGAGCAGAACTAGCATCCAAAAACACTTCTGCATAAGCAAAACTCTGGAAGAAAGAAAACCTCTAAGAGAACCCCTAGAAATTCTGAATGTTTAAAGATAATTGAGAGGTTGCATATTTACTCTGAGATGTTTGTACTCCACGGGGCTCAGCGAGCCTCAGAACACTTAAGCAAGCTAGATAAGTCCATGTATAAACTTATAAAGGTAAGAGTAAGCTCTTTTGAAGTGTCTCTTCAGGGCAGTGCCAAGATCTCTGGGAAAAGTCTGTTGACTTATGAGAAGTCAAAATGGTAGAATTTTGTAGCAGATTTAGTCCTGATTCACAGTGAAATACTGGTATTTTATAGGAGTTTCATGTGTCCGGTGAAGTATGGACAGACGTGTTTTCCAGGTCAACAGATCTCAGCTGATCTCCTCCTGAAACAATTGGAGCAGATGTCCCATGCAACGAAAGCTGGGTAATGAGAAGAGTTAAACTTCAGAAAAAGCTAATAATTAACTCCTTTTAGTGAAGATATCCCCTTTTCTGAAGGAGAAGCCTGCCCTTCTGCATGCTCCTCTCTGTGGCTGCAGCAGTGTCAAGAAAACAGACTGTGCCTACGAAAACAGAAGGTGGCTGTAAAATACGCAATTCAGGGCTGATTTAATCATGTATTGCAATAGATGAGAATAAGGCTTTTTGGTCACCTACGCGACAAAAGAAAAAGTAAGAGTTTTCTCTCCTCTTAACAGAGCACGGAACTATTTTTAGACGGAGTCAGCTGCAGAAAGCACATTTACACCAGAGGCACCTTGTCCTTTGCCAGCTGTTGAGGTGCTTGTGGTTTTTGGAGTTATGCCAGTGCCTGTTACACAGGGACTTCATTCTTGTCCTCTTATCTGGGGAGGATTAAATCCTACAAAATAAGCATTTCAGTTCCTTCAGAAAAAAATACCTCCCTGCATTGTAACTTCAAGTTTCTTTATTTCAGAACAGAGTGGCTATCAGGTGATAAAAGAAATAACTACAGTAGGAGTTGGAAACATGTTGATGTTCAAGTAGGCAGCTTGTCTGAAATTAGGTTTGTATTCTTAGTGTGGCTATATATCAACTTGGGAGTATAGAATGCACATTTACATTATGCTATTTGATGTGTCCAAATCACAAGGTCTGTGATACGCTGCATCTGATGCATCATTTCTTGAAAATGGCTGCAAAGCTTGCACACCACCAGGCTGAGGAATCTTGCTTCTGCTACAACTGCTGGGATTGACTTGGTAGAATCAGCAACCAGAGCCAAAGCCTGAGCTCTGGCACCTGCCATCAGCAACTGCCTTTTGGACCACCAAATTGTGGTTTCATGTTCTGATGAAGCTCAGCTCTCACAAGTATTGACAAAGTTACCAAGGCTGTTAGAAATAGCAGGTATGACCCCTTTAATAATGATCTCAGGGTCTTCCCCTGAAGTGAATGAAGCTCTTTTTTTTAAAAAAAAAAAAAAAAACCCACAGAGCCTGCTTCCCTTCTGTATGAAGAGGATCCTTTCTAGCATAGAAGATCTTAACACAGAATTCATTAGAGTTTTCCTGATTTTGGTACGACAGATTAGAACTCTCTTTACAAAGTATGTCCTGAGTTTGCACCAAAGGTCCTTCCTCCGACTCCTCTACCGAATGTCCTGGAGATGCAAATTTCTCCAGGATAACATAGGCAATGAAGAAGCTCAAACATTGGAAAGTGACTATCAAGAGAAGTTCTTGAAGCCAGTGATGGGCTGAAAGTCATTTGAAGAAAGAAAGGACTAGAAATATCGGAGATTTACAAGTCCGAGAAAGAGAAAACTGGCAAAACAGCAGAAGTCCAAGCCAGGGAGACTCCTAGCTGAGAGAACAGGAGGGCACAGCACCTGGGATACAGCAAAGGAGTAACACCTTCCCTGCACAAACAGAGGCTGCTACTGAAGCAAAAGCTGGGTGGACTTCCCTGCTTGCGAATACCTTGACAGTGAAGGTATGTATACAGCAACTACTTGAACATAACTGAGTATATACATATACCATAACTACTTGAAGTAAAACAAACTTTTCTTTCCCTCAAAAAAAAAAAACCCTATCTTTAATTTTCATTCATGGACATAAGAAATAAATCATTTGCCACACAGATAAAAATCTTGAGTAAAAAGATTTCAAATTCAATTCACCAATTGTTTCATCCCACATCATTTAGGCATCTCAGTTGGATATCAGGGATTAAAAGTCTGCTCAGCTTCTGCTCCCTCCAAAGTCTAAACCTGCTTCAAAAGCCAAATCAAACCTTCTAAGATGTGAATTATCTTTGAGATAACTATCTTCATTGACCATAAAGGGAGTCGAGCAACAAAGGCTCTCAAATTACACCACCTTAGTTAGGCCACATAAATACAGGCCTTTATACACAACTTGTCAGTTGTGTGTAAGTGACCAGATGCTTTTACTTCAGTGGGATAACATCTATGTTCAAAATGTTTGCTCAATTAGAGTATCACTGACAATTATATTGGTATCATGACATGATAATGGACAAAACCCTGAATTAAGAAGTTATCTTGACAGCAGACTGTACAGAAACATTAAAGGGAAGCAGAAAGTTGGCTATTATTACTACTTTGATACAGTTTAAATAAAATATTAATGCAAGATAATTCCTATACCTTTTGATTCATAGGACTGGATATAACTGCTGTAGAAAACAACAGTTTCTATTTACACACCAAACTTCCAGTTTAAGAGCTTGCGTTCAAACGCAATCCCTTCCTGACTTCCCAGGCTCACATATCACATCTGAATAAGTAACAACAGTTAGACAAAAGCCAAAGCTGAGTAGTTTGCTTAGCTCTGACTAAACTAGAATTGAACTAGAATTCTGACTGATTTCTTGCCCATAAGTTACAAAAGGACAGTCTGCACCTGCTCCACAGGTCCTCAGCAAGCCCTCTGAGAATTCTGCCAATTCAAACCAGTCAATATAAAATTCCAATCAGCTTTGTCTTTTATGAAATATACAGTGGACAACAACATTTTTAGAAGACTCTAGCTTTTAAGGGCAACAGAGAGGTTTGCAATCATTAAGGCAGTCTAGCCTTAAAAACAACTCAAGGTAGGGAAGTATCACTATATCTGCTTTGCTAATGTCATTGAAATTGTATAGCCTGACCAGTTTTAAATGACATTAAAAAATAAAACCAGATATTATCCTGATCTAGGACGCTGTAGCAGTAGGAATGTACATGCACTTGACATTTTGGTAAGATTACACTGACTTTCATTCACAAAAGCTCTCTCAAGACAATTCACTGAGCACAGTGACTGAGGAACATGAAATTTCAAGTCTATTCTAGCTTTTGTACAGCTTCAAAAGCCAAGTGCCTAGTCTTTTTTTTTTTTTTTTTTTTCAAAGCATACTTAGCATTTTATAATAAGCGATCCATCTTATAGAAGTGCTGGTAGCAAAGGGCCTTGCTACTGGGAGTGTTTAACACCCCCACAAATTATATTCCAGAACTTCAAAGTAGATATTTAAACATAAAAAGCATCTAAGAGTAGAGCAGATATGGAAAAGGGTTGTTAGGAGGGTATACAAGGAGCCCTTGCACAGGGATTTAAATGATTGTAGTATACTTTTCCAGAAAGCAGCTCCTCCAGGCTCGAAAAGCCTACACTAAATCAGAGTTACTCCTTCTGACTGTGTGTGACAGCAGAGGTGGGATGAAGGGGTTGTTCAAACTGAACACACTTCTTGTAGACAGGAGAACAGGGTGAAACTCTTGCCTTCGGAAATGGGCTGATGGCCAAAGGAAGATGACAACAGGGCTATGATACTAAGTCATCACAGGAAGCAGGATGTAGAGCTGACATCCTTTTTCAGGGCGAGGGGATTCACACATTTGCAGAGCTAACTACTGCTTGCACCTTTCCACCTGTATTACAGGGAGCCTTCTTCACTGCAAGTCAGACTGAAGTCCAGAAAATGTGCAACTTTATAATACAGGTAAAATGTTTCTGAAAGTATTCAGATCTCCCAAGAAT